TGGTTCCTAAATGTCAGTCCACAGACTGACTCTGACAATCACCGGAACTAAAGAATCTCTGTATTTAAATAATGTTCCCCGGGGATGCATTGCTCACCTAGCTTAAGAACTTACCTTCTCTGATTCCTTTCTTTCTCTGATTCCTCATTTGTTGATGGACTAAGTTTGGCTTTTCTTTCAAATACTTCTCTGGTTCTAATCTACCTAAGATCATCAGTGGTGTTTTTTTTTTTTTTTTTTTTTTTTTTGAGATGGAGTTTCGCTCTTGCTGCCCAGGCTGGAGTGGAATGTCGTGATCTTGGCTCACTGTAACCTCCTTCTCCTGGGTTCAAGAGATTCTCCTGCCTCAACCTCCCGAGTCACTGGGATTACAGGCACATGCCACCACGCCCAGCTAATTTTTGTTATTTTTAGTAGAGACATGGTTTCACCATGTTGGCCAGGCTGGTCTTGAACCCCTGACCTCAAGTGACCAACCCACCTCAGCCTCCCAAAGTGCTGGGATTACGGGCATCAGCCACCTCACCTGGCCTACCAATGTTGTTCTTAATGGAAAAATCCAGCGGGGCAGAGTGGTTCATGCCTGTAATCCCAGGACATTGGGAGGCCAAGAAGGAAGGATTGCTTGAGCCCGGTACTTTAAGACCAGCTTGGGTAACGTGGTGAGACCCCATCTCTTAAAAAGAAAGAAAATAATCTGGTGGAGGTTCTTAAATTCCTCACTTATTTTGCTCTGAGTAAAATAAAATATTAAGGTTGGGTGCGGTAGCTCATGCCTGTGATCTCACCACTTTGGGAGGCCAAGGTGGGTTAACTGCTTGAGCTGAGGAGCTCAAGGCCAGCCTGAGAAACATGGTGAGCCCATCTCTACAAAAACACACATATTAGCCAGGTGTGGTGGTCTGCACCTGTAATCCCAGCTGCTCAGGAGGCTGAGGCACGAGAATCACTTGAACCTGGGTGGTGGAGGTTGCAGTGAGCTGAGATGGCACGACTGCACTGCACAGAGCAAGATCCTATATCAAATAAATATATAAATAAAATTTAAATTTAAAATTAACTGTTACCTACTCCGTCCTTCAAATTCCGCCTTCTGAACTTCCCTGAGATCCTTGTCTTGGACTTGTTTTTCCACGATTGATGCTCACCAGATCCCATCCCATGGTCTCCTCTAATACTTCTGGGCCTAGGCCCCCTCTCCTTAGGTGAAAACGTCTGCATTTAAGGATCTAGTTGTTGTTTGTGCTGATTTCTGCAGTCCGTATCTTTAGGCCAGACCATATTTCTAAATTCCAGAACCATATATTTTACTGCATGCTTGATATTTCTCCCTAAATATTCTGCAAGTTTACCTCAAGTCCAATAAATTCAAAATTGAACTCCTGTTCATTCTAATGCTCTTAAATGATAGCAATCTTAGACTCTTCCTCCCTTTCTACTCATCCCATATCCATGTCGTCACACTTTCTATTACTTCTGTCCCTTAAGTTTTTCTCAAGACTGTCCTTTCTTCTCTCTCCCCTATACCTGCTGACTTAACTTGGGACTCATAATTTATGGCCTAGATTACTGTGATTACTGTGAGATTACTAGATTACTGTGAGAATCACCCCTGGGGTTCTCTTGTATTTGTGGCCCCTGCTGCAGTTTAACCTCCATGTTGCTATAAGAGTGAGCTGCTTCCTTTCTTGCTCAAAATAAAATAACGGCTTATCACTGGTGTCATAGGGTCCAAACTCCTTTACTTGGCACATACATTCCTATATAATTATCCCTTCTTTCTTCTCAACCTTATCTTCTACTCGTCTCTCTACAAACACTGTTCAATTTATCCATGAGCTTCTTGGGTTTCCCTGAACTGACATACTCTCTTGTGCCTTTGTACATTAAAAATGTTGTAGGCCAGGCATGGTGCCTCACACCTGTAATCCCAGCACTTTGGGAGGCCGAGGTGGGCGGGGGTCGGGAGTTTGAGACCAGCCTACCAACATGGAGAAACCCCATCTCTACTAAAAACACAAAAGTAACCAGGCGTGGTGGTGCATGCCTGTAATCCCAGCTACTTGGGAGGCTGAGGGAGGAGAATCGCTTGAACCTGGAAGGTGGAGGTTGCAGTGAGCCAAGGTGGCACCATTGCACTCCAGCCTGGGCAATAAGAGCAAAACTCCATCTCAAAAAAAAAAAAGTTGTAAGTTCTGGGAATGCCCCCTTTCCTATCCAGGGTTACTAGCAGCCCATGGTTGCCTTTGTGCAAATTAGAGACCAGTTCTTCATCCAGGCAGTCAAATCTATGGGTGCTCAGATTGGTGATAGGTAGTGCCTTTGTGAGACACAGAAAAAGACACTTAGTCTGTGCTAAAGCAGCCACATGCTGCAGTGCAAGTCTTGGTGAGCTGAACACTGGCTCTGTTTTTCTTTTCTGACCCTCCGACCTGCTGGGACCCCCCTGGGCTGAACAACCCATATAATGGAGTGTAGTAATCCTGCTCCTACCTTCTCCTTCTCCTGAAACACTCTTGCTTAAGATTGGTTTAGATATAAAATTTCTATCTCTGATCAGATCCATGATATTTATCCTTTTATTTGGTCATCAGCCCTTTGGAAAATATGAAGAAAGCTGTGGGTCCACTCTCCATAGAAAGAAGCACTCTAGCATCCTTGTAACATGCAGCCTACCCAAAGTTAGAAACCACATTCCCAGTGTTATTCAACTTCTTGGCTCTCATGCCCAGGTAGAGTCTAACACTCAGTAGGCACTGAGTGGCTGGGGAACTTTTGAGAGCATTTTCTGACAATCCAGGTAAGTGCTTTCTCTGTATTCTTACTATGTTATTTGCAAACTGCTGCTCTCTCCTGACGTATTTAGCATATCGCCATCATTGCTTTCTTGTCTGTGTTCCCAGCTAGGCTCTGAAATTTTCTAGGATGGGCACTGCTATGTTCATAGCTGTATTCCCAGCATCTAACATAGTACCAAGCATGTAACAGGCATTTGATAGGAATAGGGATTGAATACAATTTTTCACTACTACTACTACTACTACTACTACTACTACTACTAACTACAACTACAACTACTAACTACTACTACTACAACTACTACTACTACTACTACTACTACTACTACTACTACTACTTTTTCCCCCAAAATACTTCTCCATAAATTATCAACTTCTGCTGAGGCATAAACAGACTTTTTTTTTTTTTTTTTTTTTTTTTTTTAAGATGGCGTTTCATTCTTGTCGCCCAGGCTGGAGGTGCAATGGCACAATCTTCGCTCACTGTAACCTCCGCTTCCTAGGTTCAAATGATTCTGTTGCCTCAACCTCCCTAGTAGCTGGGATTACAGGTGCCAGCCACCATGCTCACCTAATTTTTGTATTTTTAGTAGAGACAAGGTTTCACCATATTGGCCAGGCTGGTCTTGAACGCCTGACCTCAGGTGATCCACCCGCCTTGGCCTCCCAAAGTGCTTGTATTACAGGTGTGAGTTACTGCGCCCAGCCATAAACAGACTTTTGTTGGATAAAATTTAGCTACTGTGTGACTGTTTGTGAGTTGGAATCTATTAGTGAAAAGGTTAAAACCAATGGTCTCAATTTCTGACCTCGCTAAGGGAACCCAGCCTTTTGTCTTTAGCTGTTTTTGTGGCTTTCTCACTGTTCTCTGAGTAGCATTCTGAATACTGCCTGCTTGCTGTCTTTTACCCTTTTAGATCCACCACTACCCGCCATCCCCCTCAGTCCCTACCCTGGAAGGCAGGGAACTCTTAAAAATGGAATGCTTTTGCACTCTTGAGTCAGGATTTTTTCCTAGATGAGAAGTATCTGTATTTGGTTTTACAGTTTTCCATTAGTTTGCCTCCTAGAATTCTGTGTTTCATTAATAATCCAGTTGCTTGCCTTATAATTGATTCTCTTTGTAGAAAATTTCCTTTAGTTTTTTTCTGAAGCTGAAACCATCATTCATTTTGCCTTTCAAAATGGGACTAGTAATTAGTTTTGAGTGAATGAAGACTTTCATGGAAATGAACAATACAAGCAGTGTTTTCCTTTGTTTGAAAGATAGAACCAGACTCATATTTGGGCTTGAAAGTGATGATTTCCATTATTCCCCTTTCACAGGTCCTCTTCTGGGCAAATTCAATTTTTTATTAAAGCAAACCCAGCTGCTTACTGTCTCTCTTGGATTCATTTAAAACTTCATGATCCTCCTGGGTTGCAGAATGTGTTTCAACTCCTCATCAAATTTTGTTGTCTAGGAATTTTACTTGTTTTTCATAGGTCATAGCAAGTTAAAAAATGACAGTGTGTCATGGTGAGCAAAAAGCAAATGTTCCTGGGTTATTTAAATTGGATTAAAATATGCCAGTGCCATGGTGACAGTAATATCAAATATGAAGCCCTTTATCTCTAGGCTCTCCAAACAGCTAATTAAAAAAAAGAACTATTTTCTATTCAAGTGGATGTTTTGTTTTTTTTTTTAAATGACATGTGCTGTTCAGTCCCTCAATGGCTTTAAGTATCTGATTCTAAGTCAGAAGGGAGTTGGGTTGTCTTATTGAAAATCTCTTCCCGAATACTTTAGTAGAATTTGGTGTATGTATAAATTCTGCATGAGCTATTTAACCATTTATTATAATTCTAATTTAACATGCTTGGTATGGACATTTCATGTTTTCATGAAAACATTTTGAAAGCACTGCTTAAAAAATAAATGTTGCTATCGTTTGAACTAAAGTATAAAAATGGGAAATACTGGTTTTATGATTATACCAATCAAGTTGGGAGAGGGGAGCTATGGAAAGAACTTGGAGCTCCTGGCTGTCAGTGCAGTGCCCATGGGTCTGACAGGGAATACCATCTCGGAGCCTCTAGCAGGATACTGTATTAGACTATCAAAGCCACTTGAACTGTGGGATTTGGGCCTTGGGTAATTTTAGCATCATGACTCTTCTTAAGCATCTTTAATAAGTTTTGTTTTGATATTTGCTATTTCAGAGCAATAAACTGGAGGAGAAAAAAAGGCTCGAAGAAAACCGTAGAAGAGAAGCATTTAGAGAGCATCAGCAATAGTAAGTTTATGTTTTCAGAGCTTTGTACCTTTATAGGCGGATTGTTCATACAGGTTTTAAATTCAGGTGATGGTAACTTGTAAAAACATCTGGTATTGGATCATTGGCTTTTATATTAATTATGTAATAGAACTCTGTCACCATGTAAGTGAGAATCTAAGGTGGGCAACATGTCTACTCACCAAAGTATCCTTTAGTAGTCAATTGATCGGCAATAATACTACATTTGAGAAATTCCCTGTTATAAATAACTTGGAAGACTTGATCCTTTGGTGATCAAAGGTACTTCTGCTCATGTTGACTTCCAAGATAACAATATAAGGATTGGGGTATATGTGCTGAAGTGTCTAAGCAGAATCTAAACTGACCAGGGATTTATCTAATGGACTGAGGACAACTATGTACTTGTATTTTTTTCTAGACAAGAATTAAGAAATCATTTAGTAGTTATTGGCAAAACTCTCAACTGGTGGTCATACATCAAGGTGATTTGCAGTATGATTTGTGAACAGTAGCAGCTAACAGATGTAGGTCACCTATTACATGCATTATAATGTACTCTACTTTGTTATGCAGGCTTTAAGGATGAGTTCATGTCCTAACTCTTGGTAGCCCAGTTACCTGCACACTGATTAAAAAACAAAACCAAAGAATTTTATTTCTGGTTCTACATTAAATCTAAATGTGGTAGAAATAGAACCAAGCAGATCTGGGTTCAAAGTCTTAGCTCCCGCTAAAACTGTTTGAATGTCAGTGGTTTTTTTCTTAAATAGAGATAATATCTTATCTCATATGCCATTTGCAAGAATTAAATAAAATATGTAAATGATATAAAAGTGCCTATTACAGGTACTTCAAATGATCCTTCTTACAGAGGCCCTTATTGAATAGGATCATACAACTTTTATTTTATGGAGGCTGAACACAGATTTCTGGTCCCACCAGAACCAGTAATGGGCCCTCCACTTTCATATGAAATATTCACTGACTGCCTTGTGTTCTCTTCATTGTTGTCCCTTGTTTGCAGAATTTAAGATCACTCAGATATTGCGGTGAGCATATTTGTGACACCCTCCAACATATTCCTCCTCTAAGCACAATATTCTCTGATTTCTCATGCCATTAAAATGATCTTGCCTCTATCATTAACAGGTCCTTCTTGCTTTAAGATTCAGAGGCAGGAATGGAAGAGAAGTTTCTCAACCCTCTGCTTTGCTCCTTAGCAAGTTAGGTACTGTGCCTCTGCTACCCAGGCCAGAAAATAGATGGGAGATGGGCTGGGGTAGGATGGAAGTGTTGATAAGTGATGTCATCCTCCTTAGCTAAAAGGAGCATCACTCTCATTTTCATCACAGAATCCATAGCCTGTCTCTCCCCACTCTTCTAAGGCAGGCATCTAAGTGAAGATCTGGTGGGAAGCTAAGGAGCAAAGCACCAGGAGAAACTGTCTGTCTTGCAGAGAAATATGGTGGGAGGGAGGCACTAGTTGAAGGATGTGAATGTATCACTGTCTCCCCTTTCATGGGTAGAGAATGAATGAGAATTTATTTTTAGGTTCAGCCTGAAGAGTTGAGAGCGATTAGGGGATAGGCTGGGGCCTTTAGTAGCCTAGAGTCACAAATGAGAACGAATGTCATTGTCCTGTGAAACTAGTATGTCCTATGGCATACCAGGTTTACATCGGAGGAGGGAAGACCAGCTTAGCAGTGAGGGGCCTGGGGTACAGGACTGGATAGTTGAATGGGTTCCTTCTCTGGAGAGTTCTAAATATGGCAAAGTAAAGGGTAAGAGACTCTTGAAGTTTTAGTAGATATTGGAAGTTGTGCACCCAACCTCCTTTCTTTTATAGTTTCAGCTTCTTGAGTTTGTGTTTTACCAAATACAGAAGATTCATCACCCTTTTTTTGTAAAGAAAAAAAAGTTTGCCCTCAGCCACCCAGCCTACTATCAGTGGAGCTGAATTCAATTACACGCACATTTCACTCTTCCTCTTTCTTCTGCTTATTGTAAAAGTCCCAGTTAACCAGGAAAAAGGGAGGTTGGCTAAAAATGAGAAGTATCTCAAATTGATTTTTAAAGCCTATTGAGAAACACGAGAAGAGGTACATGTGTGAGGTTCTTTTTTGAAAGAGTATTATGTTTTGAATTACTTTTGAAATTAAAAGACCAATAGCTCATGAAATGAACAGCCATTATTTAGTTAGAAATATAAAAGAGATTTAGAAAAGATGGATCCTCTATATGACAAGTCTTTATCATAACTTCTTAGAATCAGTTTATGGTGGGAAAAATGTCTAGGAAAGCTCTTTGGATTTTTTTTTTTTTTTTTTTTTTTTTTTGAGATTGAGTCTCACTCTGTTGCCTAGGCTGGAGTACAATGGCACGATCTTGGCTCACGGCAACCTCTGCCTCCTGGGTTCAAGTGATTCTCCTGCCTCAGCTTCCTGAGTACCTGGGATTACAAGTGCCTGCCACCACACATGGCTAATTTTTGTATTTTTAGTAGAGATGGGGTTTCACCACATTGGCCTGGTCTCAAACTCCTGAGGTCTCGAACTGACATCAGATTATCCATCTGCCTCTGCCTCTCAAAGTCCCGGGATTACAGGCATGAGTCACCACGCCCAGCCAGCCCTTTGGATTTTTAACAGCACAGAGGTTTTGCCAGACCAACCAGACTGCCTACCCCCACCTCCCAAATTAGATTCTCCTGAAACTGTCAAACAAAGGAACACAAAATAGAAACATACATAAGAAATTCTTTCAAGCCAGTCAATACTTGGCTAGTTTCACTGTGCTGCACTGTCTGATACTCATAGCAGAGCAGGAATGATTTTTTTTTTTTGTAGAGAAGGGCAACCATGGACTTGAGCAGACTGTAAATCCAAGTTGCTGGAGAAAAAGCTCATGATAGCAACCTGGGGCACCACCATGAGAATCTTAATGTGCTCTTTCTTAACACCTTGTTCCTGACTTCATTCATTTGCTTCTGATTATTTTTAGTGTTGTCAATTATTTAGCTAACAGGCAGAAAACTAGGCTTTTATTGACATCCAAAGGGACTCTCCTGAGTGTAATAATGAAGGCAGTTTATCGAATGCCTGTGAGGTTGCTTTCTAATTGTACGCATTAATCTGCCCATGCAAGCTGGCTGAAAATACACAAGCAGATTGCACATGCAGATGGAGCACACAGGATGGTTTTTATGAAAAGACCTCTGGATTGTACTTTTGCAGTACTGTCTTTTCCTTAAAAATCGAATGACTGTGACTTTCAATGAGCGGCTGAGAGCAGAACAGATTAATGATACATTAAGCCTGCTACTCTGGCTGGGGACAGACTCCAATTTTATAATTTAGAATTCGTTCTAGGATTCTTGAGCCTGAAAACAGAGGGTAGAAATCAGCAATTAGCCTTGGTCTAAGTTTTGAGGTTATTTTTAGTCTCTGCAATTATTTATTACTTATAAAATTCATTTATGATACCTTTGGGTGGCCTTTTCTATTAAATGGAAGATGTGAAATAACAGTTGATAAAACATTTTTAAAAAATCATCATAGGATGAATTTGTTCAAACATCTCTAAGCATTACACGTCTATACTTACCAACTGCATTGAAGGCAGAAGGAAGGAAGGAAGGAAGGAAGGAAGGGAGGAAGGAAGGAATGGTTCAAGGCCCAAATGGTCATATTTAGAATACACCTGAGATTCTAATCATTGTTATGTGTGTGCGATTTTATTCGACAGTGCTGTGTGCATATTGGATAGTTCTTATATGAAATATCTACTCTTTCTGTATACTTAGAAGTGCTTGGTATATTTAAAAGTGGAACTAATAGAATAATACGTTTTGTAAATAGCTTTTAAAAATGAATGGGAAATAACTATCTTTGGAAGTGGAATTGTTAAACCACCTCTGTGAACAAACTCTCTACTTGTTTGTTGGGTTGAGGGAGGTGGGAAGGAAGAAGTTGCAAAGAGTGTTTTGCTTTGCTAGTACATACTAGAAAATTTCAGCTTATCCATTGCCCTGTATATGTACACGTCATTTAACTTTGCTGTACTTTATGTATTGTGTACATACTGGACAAATGGGTTCTTATTTTATATCGGTCTCTACAGTGGAAAACTTATTTGAAACAGCTAGCCTTTCAAGATGTTTAAAAACACACGACATGTTAAAAGTAGAAGACTAAAGTAACAAGCATTAGGTGTTTTTTTGTTATTTCACAGGAGTGGTCGCATTTGGGAATAGTCATTGAGTCTGATGTTTTGGAGAGTATGCTGACTGTTCATTGGATGGTGGCAGGTTGGGGGGAGGAGCAAGTATGCAGAGACAGGTTGTGAGTTAGATTAGTTCAGATTGTCTGACCATTGTTCTATATGTGAATTTTAATTAATATTGCTGTGTATTAAAGGATAAACAAGTCCTAATGCTAAAAGTTTGTTAAAAGTAGAGGTAGTAGAATAATCTCTTTTCAAATGTCCTTTTGTTAGTTTTTAGGAAGTCCTGTCTTCTCGAGTGACCTTTGTTAATCTGCCTCTTGGAGTTAGACGTCATTCAGTACCTAGTCATCAGAACGGTGGAAGTGGGTGACGGGAAGGGCTTTTGTTAGTATCTCCATGTATAGAAGACTGTCTTGGATTATAACCTTAAAAGTCTATATATGCATTTTCAGGAAAGTGCCTGGGTTTATTGTGGATCAAGTTAATTATTTCACAATATTTAAGCTTTATAGATGTCCTAAGGAAACAATGTATGATAAAAAGTAGAGCTGGTGAATTAGCCAATTTGTACGTTTTTTTGGTTATAGTTGATAAAAAAGATGCGTGTTGGACATGGAATTGTTAAACCACCTCTGAGCAGTGTAGGTCAGGACTTGTTCATTATGTTGGCAGCAGAGGGGCAGAAGGAAGTAAAAAGGGAGAGATGTACACAGATGTATTCATGTTTACATTTTGATGCTAGCCATTGAGGTAGGTACATCTCTTGGTTGTAT